ACCTAATAAAGTGGCCAGTGAGTGTGTATATATATATATATATATCTCCAATATTGATCAGTACTATATATTTACGTATACAATACAACAAAAAAATGACTACTAATTACATCACTATTAATATATAACATTAAAAAGTGAAATAAATGGGTAAGTTCAAAAGGATAATCATTTTTACATTGTTGCCATTGAGAAAAGGATCAGTGTTTGGCACGACGCCTGTTGCGCTGACGACGAAATCACAGCCATAAATCTTTTTGTTGGTTAACTGAACATAAGCTGGCCACAGCCCTACGGTAAGGAAAAACAAATTTAGTTATTTTAGCTGTAAAACACTGCAGCTTAATTATTATAATTATTATTAGAATAACCTAATTCTGATTTATTTGTGTTGAGTTTGGACTGTAGGAACTCCTGTTGGGTGTAGAGCTTGTCAACCTTACACTCATATTCTACATGGACTCCGCTGGAATTCTGAGAAATGAAGGAAAAGAATCAGAATAAGGTGAAAAGTGACAATCATCCACCATGTTATGTTGACTAATGTACAATTGCAAAAATATAGTGGATACAAACCTGCACTGCTCCTCTTAGTTCAATCCCCTCATGCCAGTCTGGGCCCAAGGCACTGCCAAGCTCTCCTGAAGCCCCACTGTGGCCTGCTATGAAACATACACATGTGGACGCACTTGACAGAATTCATGTTTTTTTTTTTTTATCAGCTTGTAATTAAACAAAATAGTGTGGTTCATAAGTCTTTACTATTCAACAATGTAGAAAATAGAACAAAAATTAGTAAATGTGAGAAAAGAAGTGAATATTTATAATTAATTATATTTTATTCATTTTTGATTTACTTATTTTGATTTATTTATTTGTTTGTTTGTTTGCTGTTAATTATTATTATTAAAAAGTGAACACAACATATAAACAATCAGCAATGATGGTCTTTTCAACAGGAAAAATAAATAAATAAAATAATAATAATATATATATATATATATATATATATACTATTTATTAGAAACATATGAAACAAAGTTGATGCTTAAAAGAAAATTCTCTCAAACAATGAATTTGAAAAATCAAAACAAACAAAGAAAAAATCCACTAAACAGTCAGGCACGAGATTTGAAACATCAGTTTCAGTGGAGAAAATGACACACTATTAACTAACTTTCCATTGCACTAATTAAAAGTACCAGTTAATTATTCACATTAAATGAGTCACACTTGAACTCAAGCTATCCTCTCCTCTCCGTCTATTCTGTCTACGTAATGGATCTGATGGCCCTGTACGTCAGCCACATTAACTGCACTGAACAGCGGCTGTACCCTTTAACCTCTTCGTGGACACCCACGTCATTATGACAGGATTAGTAATATGCATTGCTAAGAACTTCATTTGGACAACTTTAAAGGCGATTTTCTCAGTATTTTTATTTTTTTGCACCCTCAGATTCCAGATTTTCAAATAGTTGTATCTCGGCCAAATATTGTGCTATCATAACAAACCATACATCAATGGAAAGCTTATTTATTCATCTTTCAGATGTTGCATAAAGCTCAATTTTGAAAAATTGATACTTAAGACTGGTTTTGTGGTCCTGGGTCACATATTTAAGATTGTTAACTTCAGATATTATTATAATGACAGTAGTGCATTTTCTAATATTATAATTGTTTCTTTTGACACTACATGCTACAATAGTAAATGAGCACAAAACGTGGTAGTCAGGGCAGGACTTAGGGGGCAGGGGCCCCTCGGCTTGAGGTTATGTTTGAGCCCTATACCTACACTACAAATGCCCTCAAATAGAACATCATTATGTAACTATAAATAGAATTTTGTGTATTAGTAACACAAAATACACAAACATATGCTTTGAGGTTCTTAAATAGTACAATTAATATGCAGCATGTCTAGGCTATAGTCAAAGTTTAAATGTAATATTAAATATTCTTTATAATATAATAAACAGAATGTGTTCTCTCAGTTGAGAGATCAAAACCCTGAAATAACTTTGAGCAACAAAAAAAAAAAAGCCAGAGATGTTGGCTTATTAGTATTATAAAAGTTATTGTCAAATCTGTGACCTCTTATGTCAGGTTCTTATTTATTCAATAAATTCAATCGAATAAAAAGACATGCTGGCTATTAACAATCAAATGAAATCACTATCAACAAAATTCATAGTGCACTGTGCATAAATGTTAAGTTTAAATATAACATTAACATTAAATATTATAAATATAACATTAAATATTCAATAACTTCAAAAATGAAATAAGCTACTTTTTTAAATATGAAACTACAACTGCCAGTAGGTGGCAGCAAGTGACTTAATGAGTGAGTTGAATCAACCAATTCGTTTAAAAAGCTGATTCATTTAACTTTGCAAACGACTG